TATGAATCGGCAAGGACCACTGCTTCAGCTGAAAATCATCTTTAATGCTCTGTTGAAGAAGAAAGGTCTCCTACATCTCAGATAGCCTGAGGAAATATACAGCAAACTTTGCTTTTCTTGACGAATTATTCCTTAAAATCTTTTTAGCCAACAGGAGCACTCTAAAGCACTTACAGTACAAAAAAGAAAATACTGTTTAAAAGGTAAAGAAATGATGACTTACTTCATGCTGAATGTGGGTTATGTGTTCAACACTTGCCACTTCAGTCCAGGCTTCTGCTGGTGTTGAAATGTTTTGTAAAAATTGCTGAAGCTTTTGCTATGAGTTATGTTTTTATTAAAAGATTACTTAAATTTAAAAAATATTTTAAAAATAGAGGATTGATTTGTATATACACTTACAGGCTACTTTAATAGGTACACCTTAGTACCCGGTTGGACCCCCTTTTGCCTTCAGAACTGCCTTAATCCTTCATGGCATAAATTCAACAAGCTACTGGAAATATTCCTCAGAGATTTTGCTCCATATTAACATGATAACATCACATAGGTGCTGCAGATTTGTCGGCTGCACACCCAGGATATGAATCTCCTGTTCCGCCACACCCTAAAGGTGCTCTATTAGATTGAGCTCTGATGACTGTGGAGGCCATTTGAGTGCAGTGAACTCATTGTCATGTTCAAGAAACCAGTCTGAGATGATTCACGCTTTATGACATGCTGCGTTATCCTGCTGGAAGTAGCCATCAGTTGATGGAGACACTGTGCTCATAAAGGGATGGACATGGTCAGCAACAATACTCAGGTAGGCTGAGGCGTTGACACGATGCTCAATTGGTACTAATCCCCCACAGCATTACACCACCACTACCAGCCTGAACCGTTGATACAAGGCAGGATGGATCCATGCTTTCATGTTGTTGATGCCAAATTCTGACCCGACCATCCGAATGTGGCAGCAGAAATGGAGACTCATCAGAGCAGGCAACGTTTCTCCAATCTTCTATTGTCCAGTTTTGGTGAGTCTGTGTGAATTGTAGCCTCAGTTTTCTGTTCTTACCTGACAGGAGCGGCACCCGGTGTGCTCTTCTGCTGCTGTAGCCCATCCGCCTCAAGGTTGGACGTGTTGTGTGTTCAGAGATGCTCTTCTGCAGAGCTCGGTTGTAACGAGTGCTTATTTGAGTTACTGTCGCCTTTCTATTAGCTGGAGCCAGTCAGGCCATTCTCCTCTGACCTCTGGCATCAACAAGGCATTTGCGCCCACAGAACTGCCGCTCACTACATATTTTCTTGTTCTCTAACTATTCTCAGTAAACCTTAGAGACGGCTGTCAGTGAAAATCCCAGTAGATCAGCAGTTTCTGAAATACTCAGAGCAGCCAGTCAGGCAGCAACAACCATGCCACGTTCAAAGTCACTTAAATCCCCTTTCTTCCCATTCTGATGCTCCGTTTAAACTGCAGCAGATCGTCTTCACCATGTCTACATGGCTAAATACATTGCATTGCTGACATGTGATTGGCTGATTAGGAATTTGTGTTACGAGCAGTAGTGCAGGTGTACCTAATAAAGTGGCCAGTGAGCGTATACTGCCACCTATGATATTGATGCATGTAAAGCAGGGGTGTCAAACTCCATTCCTGGAGGGCCGAAGCCCTGCACAGTTTAGTTCCAACCCTGCTCCAACACACTTACCTGTAGGTTTCAAACAAGCCTGAAGGACGCAATTAGTTGATCAGGTGTGTTTAATTAGGGTTGGAACTAAACTGTGCAGAGCTGCAGCCCTCTTGGAACTGAGTTTGACACCTGTGATGTAAAATAATGGCTTAGCGAGGGATGTTTGTGTCCACGTGGCCTTTGTTTTGGGTGATTCCATATCTTGATATCGTGATAGAAAGCATCTAGACCCCGAATTTGCAGGAAATCTCTGGCATTATAGAAAAAAAAAATAGATCGCCAAAATTTGCTTGATTTTGCGATAAATTCAGCGATCCCTAAATCCTGGAGGCACTGGTTTTAAAATGTAAAAGATTATAAAGAACAACAGACTTCACACTTTAAAATAAGCTCTATACCAACAAGACTCATGATGAAAACCAAACCTAAAGTGATTTTCCTGCAAAAAAAAAAACACGTTTGCTTAAACTACTTATTATAAATGAGCTGAAACAACATAATTCTTGTGTTTTTCTTTGGGACAATTTAATTCTTGTATGTCTTGTATTAAATTTGTAAAAACGAACACGTTTACTTCATTTCTTCATGTTGTCCCAACACAAATTGATTGTGTGGAACCCAGCATTTGGACAGCGTGTGTGATGACAGTGCAGTATGCGTGTGTGTTTGAGATTTGCATGTTATTAACTGTAAAAAAAAAATCGTGGTGCCATTCGAAGAGGATTAAACAGGGTTAAAGCTCTTGTCCTGCGCTTTACGCTGGTCAGAATGAAGCCCTGGAGATGAAGATGAAGAGCAGTGTGCATCTGTTTAATGTTAATCCAGCATTAATTAAGCAGACGTCCAGTCAGCGCAGGGGTTTCGGCAGGGGGAGGGGCTACAAAATACCTGCTGAATGGCGCCAACAGCAGGAGATCAACATCTTATTAAAACACTGCCGGCTGCGTCTTCAGCAGCATATGGTGAGAACATCATTCTTCATCAGCGGAGTATAGAAAGCGCGCGCATGTGGCGCTAAAACTTCATCAAATATTTACAGTGTTTTGGGAATGAAGGGTCGTTTTTAATGTTTGGGCCGTTTGTTATGCAAACACAGATAAGCTTCAATCCATCATTCTGGGACCAAAAAAAATTGCTGTATGAACGCTGAAAATAAATAAGTATATGCAAGATACACTTTACTTACAATATTTTAAAAAAAAGAGAGGAAAAAATGTAAAAGTAGTATTTTGTTGAGTTTTTTTATATTTATTTTATAATTACAATTTTTTCTAGACAAGTTTGAATATTTTACCACTATCTATCTTTCTATCTATCTGTCCGTCCGTCCGTCCGTCCGTCTCTCCATCCATCCATCCACCTACCTACCTATCTACCTATCTACCTATCTATCTACCTGTCTGTCCGTCCGTCAGTCCGTCCGTCCGTCCGTCCATCCATCCATCCATCCATCCATCCATCCATCCACCTATCTATCTATCTATCTATCTATCTATCTATCTATCTATCTATCTATCTATCTATCTATCTATCTATCTATCTATCTATCTATCTATCTACCTATCTATCTATCTATCTATCTATCTATCTACCTGTCTGTCCGTCCGTCCGTCCGTCCGTCCGTCCATCCATCCATCCATCCACCCATCTATCTATCTATCTATCTATCCATCCATCCGTCTATCCGTCTATCTATCTATCTATCTACCTACCTACCTACCAACCTACCTACCTACCTACCTACCTACCTACCTACCTACCTACCTACCTACCTACCTACCTACCTATCCATCCATCCATCCGTTTATCCGTCTATCTATTTATCTATCTATCTATCTATCTATCTATCTATCTATCTATCTATCTATCTATCTATCTATCTATCTATCTATCTATCTATCTATCTATCCATCCATCCATCCATCCATCCGTTTATCCGTCTATCCATCTATCCGTCTATCCGTCTATCCGTCTGTCTGTCTGTCTATCAATCTATCTATCTGTCTATCTATCTATCTATCCATCCATCCGTTTATCCGTCTATCCATCTATCCATCTATCTATCTATCTATCTATCTATCTGTCTTTCTGTCTGTCTGTCTGTCTCTGTCTGTAGCGTCAAATTGTTCAGTTTCTGCGTTTTTATATAGTTGGAGCATTGTAAAAACTCATGCTCACATCCCTCACCATAGTAAGCTATGTCGACAGAGCGCATATGCGATAAATGACGTCAGTACATAATAACCGGTTATGATTATTACAAAACCGATACCGAATTGTCCGCGTCCAGTGCACCAAAGAAATGATTCATTTTGACACCCCCAATACTTTGGCTGATTTAATATTCTTTTTTCTTTTTCTTTATTGTAAATAAAGCGAACCAATTTTTGGCCACCTCCGTTGTGTGTGTCGATCCATAGCAGCAAACGGGGAATTTTAAAAATATTGGTTGTCATAATTATGTTTAACCCTTTTCACCCTCCAAGCCACACGGGGCGTAACAATTACCAATACGTGAATTTAATTATTCTGACCAGCAATTTACCTTTATTAATCCGTTAAATGATCATCAAAGGACTACTCAAGACAGCTAGCAGTGACAATAAGATATCAGAGCTAGCATTAACCATAGCAGAGTCTGTTCACAAATCACCTGCAGGCAGTGCGGCGTCAGGCAGTGAGTTTAAACGCTCCTGCTTTTCTCTAAACTGAAGGGAACACAAGATTACCATCTTGCGGATGAATAATTCAAAAGCCGCATCTCGCTCCTTAATTACTGCCACTAATATCAGCCTGACTAATGGAGCTGTGTGTATATTGCACAACGCCTCTGGAGCTTCCTAGAAGTCTAGACCATGGTGTAATTAAAGCACGCATTTGTAATTCAAAGAAGATGGGTGACCTAAATACAACTCTGGCGGATCCTAAATCATTTACCATCCAAAAAAAAAAAAAAAAAAAAATATATATATATATATATATATATATATATATATAGATGAACTGAGGGTGGGGCAACACATTGGCCACTGGTTCGAGTCTGGGCTGGATCAGTTGGCATTTTTGTGTGGAGTTTGCATGTTCTCCCTGTGTTGGCGTCGGTTTCCTCCGGGTGCTCCGAATTCCCCTATAGTCAAAACCATAGAGTGTTGTCGCACGCGTACTGAAGGGCGGAACAGAGGGTGTGTCGCGTCGCGGGGGCACTTTTGATCTTTTTGGAAGGGTACTATCGATCCAAGACTAAAAAGGGCATGTGCACTGCACAGGTTGAGCCCTATGTGTGCACGTGCCTGCCTGCAGTTCTGTTGGCGTGCGTTCGCTCACCTCTGATGTGCAGGTGACTCTGCGTGGATGTGGCGCCTCCTGCTGCAGCTGATACACTATTACAACACAACACAACACAACACGCATTTCAGAATATTTGATTACACAGATATAATGGAATGCAGCTAGACTGAAAGTCTTATCTACAGTGCACAGCATAGATTTAAGATATTTCAGCGAATATAGATAATATGCACTGCAAAAACATTTTTAGTAAAAAGTTATATTCGTTAAAATAAGAGTTCATTACCAAACATCTTTAGCAATAGAAAAAGATGAAACTTTTAAAATTCAAAA